CCGCTCCCGCCGGCGGCTCCTCGCCCGCGCCCACGCCCAGGGACCTAGCCGTAATGAGCGAGCTGGTCGCGGCCTTCAGGAATGATGCGGGATCTGCTGGCTCGTACGACGACTCAGACCGGCTTGTTCCAGGCATGGGGCCGCCAGGGCCATACCAACTGCCAGCCGTGGAGGCCCTTGCCTGGCACCACGACCCCGCCCCTCTACCACCCGTGGTTGCGGCGCTGCAGCGTCAACATGATCGCTTTGTTGCTTCACCGCAGTGGGCGCAGATCCGGCACCACCACGAGGAGCAGCAGCAGCGGCTGCAGCAGCTGTGCGACCAGCGCGGCAGCAGCGAGGCGAGCTGCGTCGCGGGCGATGCGGGCGACGCCGGCCAGGGCGGACCCGCTGCCTCCGCTGGCCCGGCGGGCTAGCTCTGATCTGGGCCCGCGCGGCGTCGCCGCAACGGGGGCACGTCGCACGGCTTGCCTTGGGTCGGCTCTGCCGCGACCGCGCGAGCTGGAGCGGCGGCGGCGTCGAGGGGTTTGCGGTCGGAGTGGCAGGGCCGGCCATGCATGCGAGTGCGCCCGACGCGCGGCCGGCGCTGTCGGGCGCGGCGACCAGATTGCGGCGGCCACTGCGCTGAAAAAGTGAGGGAGGCGACGGGGGAGGTCGCGCGGATGCAGTGGCGCACGTCTGACCCCTGGTTGGGGCGGGGATGTATGCTTGTCAACCGCGGCCGGCATTTGCTACGCTTGATTAGTGATTGTTGCTTGTGTTCTGCGGTGCCCCGCCGTCTGCTGTACTTGTGCAGTACTTGTTCGGGCATCTACCAGGGTACACTAACGATGCGTTAGACACCTTATGATTTCGTGACTGCAAGTCTTGCAAGTCTGCAAAGCCAGGCTCCAAACTTCCATAGACAGCAAACTACTTGTGTAAGCAGCAAGCGTGGCAGGATTCCGTGCGAGCATGGGCAGGGTTCCAGCGCCAGAGGCAGCGGCAAGCACGCTAGCAGCAGCAGCAGCAGCAGCAGCGGTCTGCGGTATGCACCAGAAGCGAGGGCCGTGCGAGAGGGTAGTGTTGCTTGGAATGATAGCCGAGTGGCCCTGCCCCGACGCCACGCTGCCGCCGCCCAGTGCAAGAGTCCAGGGCTGCATGGCACTTTTCTTGCGGGCCGGACGAAGCGCCCCTCGGTATGGAATAGCATACTTGAAAGTGCTTTGGTCGGTGTTGTGCCTTGGGCAGCATGAAACACACGCAGGCACATGTGCGGCGCAAAGCAGGCTCGGCTGCTAATCAATGCTTGTTGCCAGTTGAGACTTTGGCCAGTCAACCAAGATCGCAGCATGACTCATGGCCTGGGGCCTATGGGCGACCCAACCGGGCGCCGCGCCCCAAGTGCTGCTGTAGCGCCCGGGCCAACACCAGCGATGTTGCGGTCCCACTGTGCAGCAACGCATGGTCACCTGACCATTCGCGCTGCCACACAGGCGCCGCAGGGGAATGCATGTCAGCGCGATGCAACGTCTGTTGCGCTCGGCAAGCACGCTTCGCGAGACGGTACGACACTGTCAGGCGTGCACGGCTTGCGCAACGGCCCCGTCGGCCAGCGAAAATGGCCTCATGCATAGACGTGAAGGTGGCTGGCTTCAGCCCATAGTATGTATAGGTGCGTCTCGCGTTGTGGCGCGGCTGTGTCGGCCCACCCGCGCAACCGGCCGCTTGACATGCTCACAATGCCTTTGATGTATGCCTTCTAATGCGCATTACTTTGACCACCACCAGCAAGCACGCGGCGCAACTACATGAGGCAAAGCTGGTGCGCCTGCATGACAACCGCACGGGAACAACCTGCTCCCGGCTGCGCCGGCCCGCTCGCACAACGCAACCCTGGAAGCCGTCAACAAGTTGCCTGCATGCTGTGACTCTCGGCCATTATGCCTGCACAGCGCTCTCATGCCCTGCCAGGGCTGCATCAGTGGGCTGTGCTACCACCAACTCCTCCAGTGCACCCGCGCCGCTTCCAAGCTGTGTGCATGCAAACTCCGCGGCTTCAGGCGAGCGACAAGGATCGCCTATCATCCCGCAAATCTCAAATTTTATCCGGCTGTGTTGACGCGCTTTGAGAACGAGGAGCGCGCACGAGATCTGTCTCCCGTCATCCCTCCAGAGCAGCGGAAGCAGCATCATCATCAGCAGCAGAAGCTATGAGTGCACGCTATGACCGTGCTATCACGGTCTTTAGTCCAGACGGACACCTGTGGGTGCCCAGCAGAGGGCCTGAGATCGCTGGGTACAAGCCCACGGCGCGTCCCTGACTCGTATTGTGATCCCTGACACCGCAGGTTCCAAGTGGAGTACGCCCTGGAGGCCGTTCGCAAGGGCGCACTGGCAGTGGGCGTGCGCGGCGGCGACACAGTTGTTCTAGGTGCGCAGTGCATGCAGGGGGCCCGATACGTGCTGGGTGCGGCAAGTGGCGGATATGAGGTGGCAGTATCTCAGGGCACTGAGCCGTGCAAGGTGGCTTCCACATTGCTTGGGCAAGGTGCAGCCATGAGGCATCGCGAGTTCACAAAGGATTGCGCACCTCCATGCAGCAACGGTCGAGCTTTTCGCCTCCACCTGTCTTCGTGGGTGTGTGGCGATCAGCTCGACGTTTGACGGAAGCATTTGGCAGAAGGTGCTGTGCACTGTGCATGCCAGCAGATTGGATTTTGGGATCTGCTTTGAGGTGCACGATTTCAATTAGGGGCATGCAGCAACCTGCGTGCTTCCCTTGCCCACGCACCAACAGGTGTGGAGAAAAAGTCGACAGCGCGTCTGCAGGACGCACGCACCGTGCGCAAGATCGTGCGTGTGGACGACCACATCTGCCTCGCGTTTGCTGGGCTCACAGCCGATGCGCGCGTGTTGGTCAACCGCGCGCGGATTGAGGCGCAGTCGTACCGTCTGACCCTGGACGAGCCTATCAGCATAGACTACCTCACCAAGTACATCGCGGGGGTGCAGCAGCGCTACACGCAGTCGGGGGGCGTGCGGCCCTTTGGCATATCCACCCTCATCGTTGGCTTCGACCCGCTTGGCGCGCCGGCGTTGTACCAGACCGACCCCAGCGGCACCTACAGCGCCTGGAAAGCCAATGCGATCGGTCGCAACTCCAAGACGGTGAGCAGGGATGGTCGTCCTAGGGCCAGCCGGGCAGCCGTGCTGGCTGGGGACCGAGGAAGTTAAAGGGTCGAAGCATGCAGCAGCGTGCTGAGGGTGAGGGGTTGCAGGGCTGTGCCGCAGCGCTGGCGACTGGTGCTATCAGCGCGAGAGGCGGCTGGTCTGCTCATGCTGCATGAGTGCATCCGAACTGCAGGGCTCTAGAAGGGACCAGTGGCCTGTTTGTCCATGCTTGTTCACCAGCAGCGGGGACAGGCGCCTTGCGCATATTTCCCCTGGCAGACCATGCTTTGACCTGGGAGCCCCACCATGTCGCTCCTCAGCTTCCCCTACCCGTTCTCTGTCCACCACTTTTGTACCCCTCCCCTCGACTCCCCTCAACTCCCCAGATTCGCGAATTCCTCGAGAAGCACTACACGGAGACCAGCGGGCGCGACACCATCAAGCTCGCCATCCGCGCGCTGAGCGAGACTGTGGAGGCCGGCAGCAAGAACATAGAGATCGCCGTCATGGAGCGTGATACTGGGCTGCGGCTGCTGGGGGATGAAGAGCTGGACGCCTTGGTGGCGGAGGTGGAGGCAGACAAGGCTGCAGCGGAGGCTGCCAAGAGGGGCGGTGGCGGCGGTGCGACGGGCGGCGGCGCAGGGCCCAGCAGCTGAGGGACATCGTACTAGTCAACACAGTGCGTGGTTGATGTAACACAATGGGTGATGATCTAATGAAGAGCGGCAGAATAGCTTGCTCTGTGAAGAGTGTCGCTTGAAACAAAGGCTCATTCGCATCGCGGCATCAATGCAGCAATAGCGGCTTTCTAAGCATCGGGGTGCAGCCTGGTCTGCTGGTGTGTCGCACAGGTAGGCATCCATGGCTGGACTGCTGGGTGCCAGCCGCAGCAGCACTGAGCAGTCATCCTGCTGAGCTGCTGCGTCAGCTTCCTTTGCCGCCCGTTCTCAGACTTGCACCCCTGTTATGCGTATGCGCATGTCATCCGCCTCGAAGTCGGCCGGTCAGGTGCAGACGCTGGTCGTGCAGGCCCCAAATCCGGTGCGCCTGTCACATTGCATACCTTTCCCGCGTCGATCCAGCAGCATTTACCGTGCAAAATGGCGCTTTCCATGAAGCAGACCCTTGCCTGCAAGGCCGCGGGCCGGTCTCGCACCGTGTCTGTGAAGGCCCTGAAGTACGCCGATGAGCTGGTTCAGACCGCCGTGAGTCCACTTGCAGTCTTGTTGGCCAGTTGTGTGGCGTTTCGCCATGCGTGGGGGCAGCAGCGGGAGAAGGGCGCCACGAACAGTGGAGAGATCGCCCCGAGTGCAAGCAGGGCTTCCACAGCCCTGGGGCGCAATTGACCCCCTCAGCAATGCGCGATGCGCATCTCTGTATGCAAATAACCCATCAAGCCATCCGCTCCCAGCAGAGGCGCTCTACTTGCGCGGCGCAAGCGCTGCCCATTGGCACTGAGCACCTGCACCCGTCGTTGCCTCACCCTCACAGGGCAAGGTCGCCTCCAAGGGCCGCGGCATCCTGGCCATGGATGAGTCCAACGCCACCTGCGGCAAGCGTCTGCAGTCGATCGGCCTCGAGAACACCGAGGACTCTCGCCGTGCCTACCGCGAGCTGCTGGTTACCACTCCCGGCCTGGGCCAGTACATCTCCGGCGCCATCCTGTTCGAGGAGACTCTGTTCCAGAAGGTGTGCAGTCTGGCTGCTGCAGCGTGCGAGCCTGCGCTAGCCTGCAGTCAACCTGAGTTTTGATCTGCTTTACATGTCGCACATGAAAGCACATTGGCGCCCTGCGTCATCCGCATGGCAGTGTGCGCAGCCGTAGAATCATACGCGGCCCCTGGGTGGCGCGGTCTTCGGTTGTCGCTGAGATTGCAGTGCGCTGAACCACCATTGTCACTTGACCGTCAAACGCCAACGTGGTCAGCCAGGGTGTGGTCAGTGAAGCTCTCTTGCGAGAAGTTGTTATGGTCCCTGCTTCGGCGCGCCTGTGGCAGCTGACGGATTCTAGACCCACACGCATGTGGGTAACGAACAATCGACCCCTGCCAAACCCCCCCACCTCTCGACCCTCCAGACCAGCACCGGCAAGCTGATGGT